ATTATATTACGCAATAGCAACCAGATTTGCAATTCTAAGGAAGCGCGGTACAATCTTTCTCAAGAACATCATACGGAATTTTTACTACTTCGGTCCGTCGTTATATTTGTCGCAATTGATGTAGGGAGGGATTGTCAAGAGAATCGGCTCAGGTATGTTAAGGCTATACCTTCTTTCTTTTTGGCATGATCTATACGACACAAGCGAAACGAGCAAATGCACAACTTCCATAAATTACTCTATTCGTAGAAATGCTAGAGATGTGTATATTCTTATTCTCCCATGTGTCATACTATTCTATCATCTGTTCATGGGTCTCAAAAATACGTAAGTTGGTAAAGTTTATTTCATGATATTAATCCGAGGCATAACAGTTTTATGACGTACCGAGAGATTTTATTAACGTATTTCATATGCATTTCATGCATTTATACATGCACATTGACCTATGACCAGATGGCATTATATACGTGTATATATATGTATATATATGTATATGGGATATGGGAAAGGTTATGGCGTTATATACGTACCACCACCTGATCAGCTGGTATACGTTGATGATTTTGACCATAGTGGCCGAGATGGTATGATGGGATGCCTTCGGAGGCTTGATGATATTATGAACACATGTACCTATGCACGACATGACATTCAAGAAAAGACTACTTTCACATGTCCCTATGGTACTTTCGCATTCTCGCGGATGCCATTTGGGTTATGCAATGCACCGGCGACTTTTCAATGGTGTATGATGGCTATCTTCACCGACATGGTGGAGGCTTTTCTTGAGGTCTTCATGGATGACTTGTCCATAGTCGGGAATTCTTTTGATGATTGCTTGAAAATTTTGGATAAGGTCTTGGCAAGATGTGAAAAGACGAACTTAGTATTGAATTGGGAGAAATGTCACTTCATGGTCGAGGAAGGCATTGTCCTTGGCCATAGAATTTCAAAGAATGGTATTGAAGCCGACAAGGACAAGATAGAGGTGATTTCTAAACTTCTGCCCCCTACATCCGTGAAGGGAGTGAGGAGTTTCTTGGGTCATGCGGGTTCTATCGCCATTTCATCAAGGATTTTTCCAAATGTGGTGAACCCCTTGTGTAAGATTTTGGAGAAGGATGCCAGATTCCATATCAATGAGGATTTCATGAAGGCATTTGAATTACTCAAGTTCAAATTGACAACCACTCCCATTATCACCGCACCGGATTGGAGCTTGCCTTTTGAGCTCATGTGTGACGCAAGTGATGTGGCAGTCGAAGCAGTTTTGGGCCAACGTATCAACAAAATCTTTTATCCGGTCTACCATGCTAGTAAGACCATGAACGATGCCCAAGTAAATTATACGGTGACCGAAAAAGAGCTCCTTGCTATTATCTTTGCTATGGAGAAGTTCCGCCCATACTTGATGGGTACAAAGGTGATTGTCCACACCAATCATGCGGTGCTTCGGTACTTAATGAGCAAGAGGATTCAAAGGTGAGGTTAATGCGGTGGGTGCTTTTATTGCAAGAGTTTGATCTAGAAATCCAGGACCGCAAAGGAAGTGAAAATCAAGTGGCGGACCACTTGTCTCGATTGGAGGAGGAAGGGAGGCCACATGACGGCCTTGAGATCAATGATTCCTTTCCCGACGAGCAACTTTTAGCCATTTTAATGACCGAGATGCCATGGTTCGCCGATTTATCAAATTATCTCATGAGTGGCATTGTACCGTATGAGTTCTCTTCAAACCAAAAGAAGAAGCTCAAATGGGATTGCCTTGACTATTATTGAGATGAACCGTACCTCTTCCGAATTTGTACCGATGGTGTGATTCGAAGATGTGTGCCGGAGGAGTAACGAGTGGAAATTCTTGAGGCTTGCCACTCTTCACCATATGGTGGTCACCATGGTGGAGCTAGAACGGCGCCAAAAGTGTTGAGTTGTGGATTCTATTGGCCTACTCTCTACAAGGATGCTAGTGATCTAGTTACGCTTTGTGATGATTGTCAAAGGGCCGGTGGAATTTCAAATAAAAATGAGATGCCCCTCAGCACCATCTTGGAAATTGACATTTTTGATGTGTGGGGTATTGTCTTCATGGGTCCGTTTGTGAGCTCTTGTGGAAACACCTACATCCTAGTCGTGGTTGATTATGAGTCCAAATGGGTTGAGGCCATTGCTTTGCCCAACAATTAAGCGAGGAGTGTAGTGGCATTTTTGAAAAAGAACATCTTTTACAAGATTTGGTACTCCAAGGGCTATCATAAGTGATGGGGGTTCGCATTTTTTCAACAAGGCCTTTGATACCTTACTCACCAAGTATGGTGTCACTCGTAAAGTGACGACCCCCTATCATCATCAAGCAAGTGGTCAAGTAGAAGTCTCTAACCGGGAGATAAAGAGTATTTTGTCAAAGACAGTGAATGACAATCGGACAAATTGGTCAAGAAAACTTGATGATGCTTTATGGGCTTATAGGACGGCTTACAAAACACCGACTGAGATGTCTCCATACCAGTTGGTGTTTGATAAGGCTTGTCATCTTCTGGTGGAACTTGAGCATAAGGCCATGTGGGCTTTGAAGAAGTTGAACCTTGAATGGGATGTCGCCGCCAACTTAAGGGTGGCACTATTGAATGATCTAGAAGAGTTCTGATACCATTCATATACAAGTTCATACTTATACAAGGTGAAGAAGAAGTACCTCCATGACAAGTACATTCGGAGCAAGGAGTTTAAAGAAGGTGATCTTGTGTTGTTGTTCAATTCTCAGTTACGGATGTTTTCGGGAAAGTTGATGTCAAAATGGAGCGGCCCGTTTGAGGTTGTTGGTGTGACACCATTTGGTGCATTGGACTTGAAAAATAAGAATGATGAAGTGTTTAGAGTCAATGGGCACCGGGTGAAGCACTATCATGGAAAAGTTGATGATGGCCATGTCGTGGCGGTTCTTCATTTCAAGTGATTGGTAATCTGCGCCGTGTCGTGACGTTAAATCAGGCGCTTCTTGGGAGGCAACCCATGTGTCTTTCTGTTTTTCTTTTTCTTCTTCTTTAGATAGGTCTTATTTTGTGCTAACTGGTTTTGAAGTGTATGCAGGAATGAGTGTGCTTTGCAGGGATTGTCCTCAGAAGAAATGGCCAAGTGTTGAAAAAGTGCGGACCACACATTTATTATGCGGTCCGCACATTCTTGAATGCCACAACAGAAAGCAATCTGCGGTCGCATAATTCATTGTGCGGCTGCACAACTGGAGACCCAAAAATGCAAAGTCTCTGAAGTTTGTATGATAGAAAAAGGGGCCAATCTGCAGCCGCACAAATTCTGTGGCCGCACTCAATAAGCTGCGGACCGCTGAATCGTCGAAGGTTATATTAGTATCAGGTATAGGAGTGTGGCCATACATGAAATTTTGCGGACCGCATTCATCTCTGTAACCCTTGCCACCGTGTGATAAACGTAAATAGAGGGTTTCATGCTCCTGTTAAAATTTTAAACACTCTGAACATTCTAGAGACAAAAAGCACTATGCACTCAATTGATTCAAGCATCCATCATTCATTTCATCTCTTTGATTTTCTATGCATCACTACATCACTGGTACGTTCAGTCCATCATTAAATTCTTCAATTCTCTTAAATAATTTAGTCATTTTGAGCCCTAATTGTAAAATTCCTGACCATGTTGAGTGTTAATGCAGTGGGTAACTTCATACTTTCTATTTGGGGGATGGGTAAACTAGTTATCATGTTTAATTGGTATTGCCTTGTTCAATTTTTTCTTGGAAGTTAGAACCTTAATGTAACTGCCATTTGTTTGAATTGTGCAGCCGCACAAGGAATTGTGCGGTCCGCAGATCCTTAAGCTAGGGCAAACTGTATTAGCTAATTGTGCGGACAACACTCAAAATTATGCGGTTCGCAAATTGGGACTGCGGTTGTAGAATTCTATGTGCGGCCGCAGATCGACCAATTCTCTGATATTAGAGAGTTGCTTGTTTAATGTTGGAATTGTGTGGCTGCACTCAAAATTGTGCGTTCGCGCACAAAAATTTTGTGGACCGCAGAACCAGAGCTGCGGCCGCACTTCAAAATTGTGTGGTCCGCACTTTCCCATGTGCGATCGCACTCACTATTGTGCGGACTGCACTTCTTTAGTTGCATCTGATTTTTCCCTGGTTTGTCTGCAACTATCTGCAACTTTTTATATGCCATCAAATTGAACTTAACTGAATCTCGTTTCTATGAATTGCAAACAATGGTGCGATCTCGTGGTCGAGGTGATACTTCCAAAGGGAGGGGTGAACCCTCCCGAGGCCGAGGCAGGGGCAACCTCCCACTCTCTTTCCAAAAAGTAATTAGCAAGAAGGCAACTACCAGAAGAGACCTAGAACCTTCAAAATCCAGTGAATATCTCCCGTCTAGGGAAGCCTTAGAGGGAAATTCTATGCAAGCGCAACCCGATGCACAATCTCAACAATAATAGCTTCCGGGTAGACTACAACTCAGAGATGAGCCTTCATCCTAAGCTAGGTCTTCTAAGGGTTCGAAAGAGAATAGCCAAGGTTTAGAGCCTTCTTCCTCACATGCCCTCGCATCACCTACCCCATCTAATGATGATGGTGATATGCCGGATGACGGTCGATGGGGTGATACCCGAGTTGCCAGCCTAGAGAGGTCGAAGAAGAAGGAAGTTTAGGAGGAAAGATTCGTGAGCCTAACTGCTTTCAACAGCTTTCAAGAATTGTGGACTCAAAGATCGCTCGCTCTTGAGCGTAAATTAGATTTGAAGGATTTGGGTAGATACAACCCGAACGTGGCAAGACAGTTTCGGGAAAGAAAAGGTGGTCATGCTTCACCCAAGTTGTGGTGGACGCCAAGGAGCACTTAGTCCGAGAATCTTATGCCAATGTGGCGCACATCAAGAAAGGGACTAAGGTAACCAAGGTGAGAAATTTGAAGGTTAGATTTGTTCAAACATCCCTGAACTCTTACTTGGGGCTCGAGGATATGGAGCTCATACAATATCTGGAGAAATGTCGAATGGGTGATGCGGCTCGCCCTTGGTTAGCCGAGATACTAGCATCTTCAGGCCCACCACCACCATGGATCACAGCAGGGGTTCCCATTTAGCGGAACACCGTCAACTTTGAATCCAAGGGTTGGCAAATATTTGTCTGCAGCCGGATTGACCCATCCAGAAATGAAAGCATCCTTCCTATCCCTTGGGCAGTTTTAGTGGCATCTATCATGGCTGGGTACCCTATCAACGTGGGTGCCATTATGTCGGCCAACATCTCAGTGGTTGTCAGGCAGGGTGAGAGCTCCTACCTCTATCCAAACACATCACAGAATACCTTACGGGCGCGGGAGTGGAATCAAAGCCATTTGATACAAAGGTTCAGGCAAAGCAGCCCTTTTCATGATACTCTCTCAAGGACCCGAGGAACCCAAAGAACAAGAGCAAGGGTCAGCCAACTACTACCGAGGGCCAGTCTGAAAAGCCTTCGGTGGTACCTACAGCTTCAGCAGCCATACCTTCAGTTGACAGGCCGGCCACTTCAGCCGGGCCCTCTAGCAGTACGGCTGCCAGACCTCCACCACCATCTGCAGGGCCACCATCAGCTTCACTGCCTTCATCTTCTTCCTATCCACTCACAACGTTGAGAGTCTCCCATACTATGGAAAATATCAACAACTGGATGCAGACAGATACTGCAAAGATGGCTGACTTATCCAGTGCTGTTGCAGCACAGTCTTCCACCCCAGCACCCCAGACTTCTCCCACAATGGAGGAGACCTTGAAAAAGATTCTAGAAAACCAACAGACTATTATGGATACTCTGGTGGCACATGGGGGATAATTGAGGAGTTAGGTAAACAGGTGAAGAAGATGAGGAAATCACAGGCCTCGAAGAAAGCACTTGACAAGCTGACCAAAGAGGTGGCCAAGATAGCATCCGCTGGGGATATTCCACTTGATCTACTGAGGGAGTCAGCACAATCAGCACCATCAGTACTAGAAGCAGCAGCTGGCTAGTCTAAGGAGCCAGACCTCGCTGCCCACACTGCTGAGGCAGTGTTACAGATGTTCACCAACCCAGCTACTCCCAGAGCAGAGGACGATGAGATACAGTTGGAGGAGCCTGAGGGTGATGATGATGCTATGGACACTGAGGCCACATAGGGAGTTTTCTCTACTCTTTCCCTTCCTTGAGTTTTATTTTGTTAAACATTAGGGACAATGCTTATTCTTATTGGGGGGGGGGGGGGAGAGCTTATTTTGATTTGATGATAGTTGGCCTGTAATAACTTGATAACATTCTCGTTTTCTTTTCTTTTATTCATGTACATATTATTCTTTCTCTCTATTGATGTATATATTCTCTCTCCTCTCTCATCTTCTATATTAATTTTATTTATGCTTTCAGAGTTTATTCTATAGCTTCTTTATCTTGCTTTCTTAGTAGTTAATGTTTAATCTAATAACTTCATATTTAATTTGATAGTTTCTTTTTAATTTAGTAGTTTATCTTCATGTTTAATTGATCAATAAGCCTTTAGTTTTCTTAATGTCACGGTTCTTTCCAAATGTGGTTTTTGTGTGAACCAAGTGACTCTTCCCAACGATGGATTGTGTGACAACCTTCTTAAAGGATTAAGTCCATTTTTAATGTTTTTAGTTAGAATAGGAGGTAATAATAAATAAAAGGACCTAATTGAGTTGAATTAGAAGAGTCAAGCATGCTTCACTTGGTACCAACACACTTAACTAGGGGCTTATGATTAAAAACAAGTTCATGGAAAGAAATAGCTCTAGTTAGTGACCTTTTGACTCTTGTGTTGACTTGAGCAATCATCAAGTGGTTTAGTTAACCATTAGTGATTTTCAATCTTGAATATGGTTGTTCTGGGCCCTCGACTCATCTTTAACAATCCAGTTGTGTGAGAAGTGAGATTTTTGTTGCAAGTCCAAGTACCAGTTTGAATGGTCTAGAACTTGCCCCGAATGTGTTTCTAAGCGAAATTCTAAGTTTTGCTTGGCTTGAGAGGTGTTTGTAGGCTCTCCTTGACCCGATTGAAACTTTCCATATCCCACCAATATTGCTATCCCTAGTCAACCCATTTGAGCCTAAGACCTTTCTCATTCGATAACCACATTACAAGTCGTTGCCCGTTTTGTAGTGACCCTCTCTTGGCACCCTAGATTTCCTTAACACTCTTGAGAAGAAATTGGCTAAAACATAAGTTTGGGGGAGAGAGAGGAGTTTGAAAGTGGTATCAAGGCACAAAAAGAGAAGAAATGAAGAAAAGGAAAGCCAAATAAAAAGAAAGAAAGAACAAAAGAAAAGTGCAAAAAGGAAGTGAATAAAATGAAGAGTTGAAGGGATTCAAAGAAAAGCAATGATGCAAAGCATGGAGAAAACAAAAAAGGAGAAAACTAACATCATGACTGAGAAAGAGTTATGTTAAGTCTCTCTAGTTCCCCTAAGGAAAAAGAAAATGACTCAAAGAGTCGGCAAAGCATGAGCCAAAAAGAGAAAAATGGAGTGCTTAAGGAAAGATGAACCCGTTTCTATTCCAACATTCCCTACCTTTATCCAAAAGCCTTCATTACATTCCGAAAAAGCCCTAAGTCATTTCAAGCCGAGTGATTTTACATTAGTGGTGATTTACATGAGGGGCAAGCATATGGTACTTACAGCCGTACTTGTGACATTCTTTTGAGAGAGATGAGCGAACTTTTCACAAATTCTTGAATTGAGTGCTACATTTGTAAGTGAGATATGCTAACGGAGAGTAGAGGAGAGGGAGTTTGGGATCCACAATGACCTACATGAAAGAGCGAGCTTCCTTGATGAATAAAGTCAACTCTTGATGCTCTAGTGTTACATTAGAACTATTATGCTTAAAAAGTCAAATCATTACCTTGTTGATAATTCATAAGTGCTATGGGTAATTGTTGGTCCCAATTGATGTGTGTTTGATTCACCTTAGCATAGATGGAAAAGCTCTTAGCATGTGGAGGTGGGAATTACTTTAATTTCTTGAGGACAAGCAAAAGCTTAAGTTTGGGGGAGTTGATAAGTTGAGATTTTGACTACTTATCAGCGCCTTTTTACTTTCGTTTTAGTCCAAAAGTGCTTAATTGTATTTTCGAAAACTAATAAAATATGCTTAATTGCAGGAGCATTGGGAAATGAGCCAAAAAGATGAAATCCAACTCAAAGAGGAGTAAAATGAACTCAAGGACAAAAAGAAGGAAAAAGGTTAAATGTGCGGGCCGCAGAATTCCTTCTGCGGCTGCAAAATACAAAGGAAATCCAACATAGGTCTAATGCAATGTGCGGACCACACAATTATTGTGCAAAGGTCTAATGCAATGTTCGGACCACACAATTATTGTGCGGCCGCAGAAGACATCAAAGATTTCAAGTTCATAGAAGTCTTAGTTCAAGCCTCAAGGAAGTGCAGACCGCACAACTATTGTGGGGTCGCAGAACTTGCCATGCAGCCGCACTCAGATTTGTGCGGTACGCAGAAAGGGCCTGTGTGGTCGCATTCACTATTGTGCGGACCACAAAGCAAGAAACATGCGGCCGCAATCCAGAATTATGTGGCTGCAGACCAAGCTCCTACCAAGCCTGAAGAAGAACTGCGGACCGCACATGGAATTGTACGGCCGCAGAACCTCCGAAAGGGCAATTTTGTCAGAAATTTTCAGCTGTGTATAAATAGATTTCTTTCACGAAATTAGGTCAAGTTTTGAATATCCAAACATCTGTAGCTATTTTTCTTTACTGGTTTTAGCAACTTTAGCCTACTTTAGTGATTAAACATTAGATTTTTGCCTTTTAATCTTTCAATATGAGTTTAATTATCATTTTCTTCTCTATTTTCTTCATTACCCACTATGAGCAGCTAACTTTCTAGCTAAAGTTTTGACCCAACCCTAGCATGGGTACCTAATGAGTGTTTGATTTAGGGCTTGTTTATGGTTGGGTGTGTAATATTTAGCCTAGTCGTTGCTATAATTGTAGAATTGATGGTTGCAAATATTGATTCAAGCCTATTTGACTTAGACTCTTCTTGACAAAGAGAGACTTAATCTAGGAATACTTGGCTAACAAGAAATTGAGATGGACTCAAGATATTGATAGTCCCAATTAAAGGGTTGAACCTAGAGATAGCAAAACCCGACTTGATCATTTATCAACTGTTTTGTGCAATACCCATTTGGACTTGAAAAATCCAAATTGGGCAAGCCACTCTCTTACCGAGAGGTATTGAGTGGGTAATTTTGTGTCTATTGATATAATACACCCCGTCCAACGAAACTCGCTCTAAAGCCCACAACCCGTTAGGCAAACACCTAGGTGGAAGTCACAGCCCTAGACCTTATACATATTTGAAAAACAACCACAGAAACATTATTCTCTAGTTTCTTAAGTTATATTTGCAAACCGTAGCTTAATTTAGAAGTAGAATCAAAACAAAGTTTGTGGAAGTGCAACTTAGACACTTTACGCGCTTAGTCCAAATATATACCAATAATCCCATCTACACTCCCTGTGAATTCGATCCCGACTCCCAGTTGGGTAATTATTATTGCAATCGACCACTTTACAACCCCAATTTGAGGTGTGATTTGGGTGAGATCAATACCATGAATCCGAGAAATTTACCCGATTTGACTCCAAACGCGCATTTTTTTGGATTTAGCTTCATGTTGTCTTCTTCAATATACTGAAGGTTTTCTACAAATGCTTTAAATGGTCCTATGCTCGTAGGGACTTAACGAACATATCGTCAATGTAAACTTCCATGGATTTCCCTATTTGTGCTTCGAAATTCCGGTTTACTAAACGTTGGTAAGTGGCACCGGCTTTTTGTTAATCCAAATGGCATTGCGTTATAACAGTACGTGCCATACTTAGTGATGAAGGAGGTCTTTTCTTGATCATACGGGTTCATTCGTATTTGGCTGTACCCGGAGTAGGCGTCGAGAAAATTGAGGATCTCGTGAGCTGTCGTGGCATCGATCATGCGATCGATGTTAGGAAAAGGGAATGAGTCCTTGGGGCATGCCTTATTTAAGTCTTTATAATCCACACACATTCTCTGTTTGTTCCCTTTTTTAGGGATTACTACTACGTTTGCTAACCATTTCGAGTATTTGACTTTCTGGATGGACCCTATTTTAAGGAGTTTAGTTACCTCGTCCTTGATGAAAGCATGCTTGATCTCGGACTGGGGTCTTCTTTTCTGCTGACTCGATGGAATTTCGGGTCCAGGTTCAGCTTGTGAGTGGAGATCTCTGGTGGGATCCTTGTCATGTCGAGATGGGACCAAGCAAAACAATCCATGTTAGCTATAAGAAATTGAATAAGTTTTTTCTTGAGCTCGGGAGTTAACCCCGTGCCCAGGTATACCTTCCGATTGGGCAGATATTCGATCAGTATGACCTGCTCCAGCTCTTCGACCATTGATTTGGTAGCATCGGAATCATCGGGGACTATAAAGGATCAAGGAACCCTGTAATCATCGTCTTCGTTTGTCCCCTGCTTGTTCGGTTGGGTCGAGGTCGTCATCGGTGATTGCTATTTGGCTTCCTGTTTTGATTTCGAACCTGGCTCCTTTGTGAATGACAGTGTTGATATCGGAATTACTTCATTGAAGGCAAACATCTCCTTTTTGGCGGGTTGCTCCCTATAGATCGTTTTAATCCCTTCTGGTGTTGGGAATTTTAGCACCTGGTGAAGGGTCGAGGGCATTGCCCTTATGTTGTGGATCCATGGCCTTTCGAACAGGGCGTTGTACCTCATGTCCCCTTCGATAACATAAAACTTGGTCTCCTGGATGG